CAGCTCGCTCCTGAACTACAGACCCACAGTCACCTGCTTATTGGACATCTCCTTGAGCCCACCCCTCTTCCTATACCTCTGTCTCAGTGAATAGTACCACCAGTCCCTCAGCTTTGACACATGGAACCGGGGTTTCCTCTGTGAGTTCTCCAAGTTTGATCAGTCATCAGGTCCTGTATATGACACTTCTTGAGTAACTTTCAGATCAAATCCATTCTGTCTCCACATCTTTACTTCAGGTTGCAGTTATCTCTCACCTGGATTTCCACAGCAGCTTTCTAAAGGATCTGGATCTTGCTGCCACTCATTTGTCACTATTCCCTCGAACTGAAATTTCTGAAGTGAAACCAGATTTTGTCATTCCCTTACTTCAAAACCATTGGTTTCCCAGTGTTCTCTGGTTGAAGTTCAAATTGCTTAGCAGAAGCCATGCGGTCCAGTCCTGTCTCATCTCTTGCCCTTACATGCTATAAACCAGCCATAACAAAGCACCTGCAGCCCCACAAAAGCATGATGCCCTTTCTCACCCTTGGACCTTTGCATATTTTATTCCTCCCACCTAGAAAGTCCTTCCTTCCCACCTTACTAACTTGCTCTTTGGGTTTCAGCCTCAACATCATCCTTCTAAGGAAGCCTTCCCTGGCTCAGCTGGATTAGCTGTCTCTGATTTTATATCATCTCATGCTTTCTCCTATCAGACAGTTTTTATACTTAAAATTACCCTTTTGTCTCTCAGTATATTTATAAACTCGAGGTTGGTGACTGTGTCTTGCTTGACAGTATATCATCAAACAGAGCAGGGCATATAGTAAATGTTCAGTAGTCTGCTGAATGAATATAAGACATTTAGAAAGGATCATCCCATTTTGTTGCTGGTAGTAAACTACATGTTGTTACATTACCTGCCCTAAAGAGCTTGTATTATAAAAATAAGCCAGTTTGGATCAGTAGTTAGAGCAATGACCCATGTACTGAAGGATCCCAGGTTCGATTCTAGCCAAGGGCATGTACCTCGGTTGTAGACTTGGCCTGGGTTAGGGCACATGTGGGAGGCAACAAATTGATGTGTCTCTCTCACATCGATGTTTCTCTCTCTCCCTTCCTTCCACTCTCTGAAAAAGCAATGGAAAAAATATCCTCAGGTGAGAATTAAAAAAATAAATAAGCTGATTGTGGAAAACGACTTCTCTAGGGAAACTTGACAGACTGGAGAAATTAATGTACCTTGAGAGGTGGAGAAGAGCTTGTAGATGCAGACACGTGGCATTACCACTGGGCACATGTGCAGGAGCCCACGAGGAGGGCAGGGAGCCACCAGCATCATTGGCCTTGGCTCCTCACATGGATGGGATCGTGTGAAACATGGCTGCTTTGGCACAGTTTCCATTTATTCCACAGCTTCTACCTGTCAGTGCAGCATTAGAGAAAGCTCTGGGCTGAGATCCGGGTTATAGTTTTGGCCCTGCCCACTACCTATCTCAATTACCTTAGGCATTACTCCACTTGGATATTGCACTGCAGATAGTACAACTTCTAAAACAGGGTAAACGCACAACAAATTCATATATTCATTCACTCAGTAAATACCTCTCACACACCTGCTATGTGCCAGGTAGTGTCGTAGGTGCCGAGGGTATGGCAGTGAATGAGACAAACAAGGCCTTGGACTTTGTAAACTGGGGGATGACCTATATGGTCTCTACGGTCTCTTCCAGCTCTAAAATTCTGAGACTCCCTCTTTGTCCAGTTGCAAATAACCAAGGCAGACTAGTGGCAAAGCATCACGCTCCAGCCTTTCAGTTCTCCTCCCTCGGTGCCATCTCTGTTCCAAACTCAGCTCTGGGAAGCAAGAGAAGATCTGGTATCATTTGTACTCTGCCTGCAACCCAAGAGTTCTCTCTCCAAAAGACTTGTTATTTAAGTTTTTTCTCTTTTTGTGGAAAAGCTTTGTCTGGTTGGAACAAGGAAACCTGGCAAGATATTTTAGGTAAAGTTAGGTGCTTTGGCAAAAGGACAGGGAGAGGCAGAGTGGCCTTACTCTCCAAGTGCAGTATCTCTTAAGTTTGCCTTAAAGGGCACCAGGTCACTGGACAGGTTCCTCCTTTTCCTCTGGATGATAGGAATCCCCTGGTCCCATCTCCTTTCTGCTACCTCTGACTTGGCCTTAAGGTCCAAAGTTTCTATCAGTTGAGTATCTGGTGTTCTGATCAGGAAGAAGGGATTCAAGGACTCTCAACAATGTGGGGGAAGGAAAGTCATAGGTTGCAAGTAAATGGACAAAGCAGAGAGGTCCTTGGGTCAGGAACATGATTTAGAGTTGAGACCACTGCCACTCCAGGTGAGTCGTCAGGCATGGGGTGGCACTAATAAATAACACATTTAAGTGTATCATTGAAAAATACTGACTTTTAAAATACTGATCCTGGATAATTAACTGTGAAGTCAAAAAGTATTTTTGATTATGTAAAAGGTCTACTGTTTATGTCTCATTACCATGAGACAAGTTATCTATATCAGATTGACATGAGTAATTCTATATTAACAGCAAATATTGCCTTCAAATTTTCTAGCTTGTGATGAACTAGAAGGCATGGAGAAAAATATTTGAAAGACCCAGCCCTGTTGCTTAACTATAATCTTGGTAGCTTACCTTCTCTGTGCCTGTTTCCTCAACTGGAAAATAAGAACTGCCTCAAGTATCTCACAGGGCTGATGCAGAATCGACACTACGTATGTGAAAGTGCCTTGGAAACTGCAAAGTGCCGTATGCACAGAGGTACGGGTACCATCAGCTTTCTTAGGATGGCTGGTCTTTAGCTTGTCACCTGTCCTCTTGCCTTCCTCCTTGCTCACTTAGGTGTCCCTCAAGGACACAGCTACCTTTCACCATACTGAATCTTAAGTGTGTAGACACAAACATACAGCTAATTCATGTCAGTTCCTAAAGAAGAGGCTGTTCCTTCATGGTGCTTGAGACCCCTTATCACCAAGTGCTGGGACAAGGCTCATTTCCTCCAGGTAGTTAATTCATTTTATCATAAAAAAGTGTTAGGCTTTTTCTTTGTATAAGGCACTGGGATGGGCTCAGTGGGATGCAGCATCGTGCATCTAAAATAATCTCAGCTTTGGAGTCTGGCAGACTGAGTTCAAGTCCAGTCTTGGCCATTTACTTAGCTATGCAGCCTTGGCAAGTAATGCTCACTCTGAGCTTCAAGTTCCTCTTCTGCTTCAGGGGGTATTACATGTCTTGCAGTGTCATTGAAAGGATTATAATTAATGCCTGTGAGTGATGGCACATAACGAGTACAGAGATGACGGACAAGTGGCAAGGTCTGTTTCCAAGCACAGAGCACGGTAATGGGAGTTGCGGGTGATGAAACTTATATAACCAACCAGAAGGTGCGGAAAGGGAGGGGCCAACTTAAAAAACCAGTGAGGGTCTTTTCCTGGCAGCACTCAAGTAGCAGCTGAACTACCACGGTGAAAGGTGCTTCAGAAAGCATTTCTGTTCAACCCTAGGATCTCTTCAGTTTCTAAGGTCATAAAAAGAAATGTCCAATTCAAAGAGAAAAAAACTCTAAGTTCAATACCAAAGGGTAAAGATGAGCTAATCCGGGGTCTGTGTTGCACAGTTATACAAGTGAAACCCATGAAAGAAAATTAGTGATTGCTTCTAAACTGTCACTGAAAATATGATTTAAAGGTTTACTGCAGTCTAGATATCTTTATTTTTTCCTTTGATAATAATCCACATGGTTGATGCTAAAAAGTACATTAGGGAACTCAGTGGTCTTCAAATATGGAGTTTTTTTGGGTTGAGAAATTAATATGGAAACAGATGAGTTTGCAGACTAGTAATTTTTGTGCTCTGATGTGCTTTAGAGACAAGAGTAGTGGGCTCAGTTATCAATCAACTGGAATCTATTCCAGTTCCAAGAGTTTTTTCTGCCTGGGCTGTGACCACGAGCAGGTCTTTAGCTTCTCTGTGCTCAGATTCCTTAAGTCACCACCTCTCTGTCAGGTAGTACGTGTTAAATATTTTGAACTCCTGAGATTGCTACTGGGATTATATTTATTCATAATTAAGCAACTCTAAGCAGGTCAGGTACAAGTCATTAATGAGGAGAAAGGCAAATGTTTCTGAGGCAAAATTTGCATAAAATCTAATAAACGATCCTCTTAATTGTGCAGCGTGGGCATGGGTTCCGTGAGGGAGAACAAAGAATACCTTTTCCTTTTCAGATTTTTCCTTAATGTAATATAAACCTACTCAGGTACTGATAAATTCAGATTCCTTTTTGGTTAATCCTCACATGAGGATATTTCTTCCATTGCTTTTCAGAGAGTGAAAGGGAGGGAGGGAGGAAGGGGCAGGGAGAGAGAGAAACACTGATGTGAGAGACACATTGACTGGGTTGCCTCCTGCATGCGCCCCGACGGGGGAGTCGGGGAGAGAACCAACAACCAAGGTGCCCTTGACCGAGAATCGAACTATGACCCTTAGGGGTGTGTGTGTCAGGGGAAGGGGGGGGTGTCCGATGCTCTAACCACTGAGCCACACTGGCAAATTCATATACTTCTGTAAAGACAAATATTCCTGAGATACAGCAAATCTCCCATTCACTTAGGAGAAATGGTTTTCAGATTCCCGTCTTATAAAAAACAATCTGACCTCTTCTCATATCCCAAATCCCTGAGACTCTGAAAGGATAAAGAGCTATGGGCAGCATGGCTCAGGGGTCAGAGTGTTGGCCTGCACACCGGAGGTCGTGGGTTTGATTCCTGGTCAAGGGCACGCACCTGAGTTGCAAGTTCTGACCCCAGCCCCCGGTTGGGGTGTGTGGGGGAGGCAACCAGTTGATGTATTTCTCTCACTTGGATGTTTTGGATGTCTCTCCCCGCCCCCCACTCTCTCTATAAATCAATGGAAAAAATATCCTCACTCCCTGGGTGAGGATTAATAAAAAATAAAAGAAAAAGAAAGGCCAAAGAAACCAATCTGGAGCCCTTTCAAAGGATTTATTTGCTACAGAATTGCTTGAGCTGACCAACAAGAGGAACTCAGGATTTCTGTGTTTAAAGGATTTTGCTTACTGTTTTATTCTTACAAGTGCTTCAACATTCAAAAAACAATCCTTTTGCCAGCATTTGGCATGTCTAAAAGAGGTTAGAAAAAGTTAGAATCTATAGAATTAGGTGTCTAAAAAATAGAAAAAACCCTAAACATTTAAAAATTCCTCATTTAGACAGGTCCTGAGTAGAAATCACATTTATCAGCAAAAAGAACATTTTAGATCAGAAATACTGACTTTTACATCTCCAGATCCTGACTTGGACTTGACTGGTGAAGATTCCACACACTGCATGAATGTCACGGGAGAAGGCATTCCATTGGCCAGTTCCGGCACGTGACCTACCTGGCTTGCAAAGTTTTATAAATCTCTTAAACCCAAACCTCCTGGTTCTCTGGCACCGACTGTCTTAACCTAATTCTCAATGCTTGTTTAAACAAAAAACAAGAATTTTCCCTGTAAGATCACACATTTAAATATTTGTTGCTTGTGGGTAGATACAGAGAAACCAAGTATTGATGTGAATTAACAATTCAGTGATGGAGCTGTGTGTGAATCTCTGGGTGGCTATGTAAGATGGAAGAAAAGTCCCTCGCTGGCCCTGCACTTGCTGTGCACACCAGAGGTGACCATCCAGGCCAGGTCAACATGAAGAGGGTGTGAACCCTAGCAGCTGCTCGATGGGTTTAAACCGCCACTCATCTGCCTCCAGCTCTTCTACCAAACCAGCTAGTTTTTCCATCCGAGCAACTTGCTGATCTGTAAAGAGTCAAGGAGGTAATATAGAATACAGTGTATTTCCCATTACAGTCACCAACCGCCAACATGATGATTGGTTTACAAGTAATATCTACAAGGAGCTTTTCCCCCTCAATATTCTAGTAATGGGGTATTATTCTGTGTTGGTCAGAAGACTTAATCTAAAAAAAAGAAAAGTAGTACTTATCCTGCATGCCTCAGTGACGTGTACTAAAATCCTAGGGTTACAGGCAATTGCAGCTTTCCCCCCAACATTATGCCTTCAATGGTGAATGGTTTGGTGGGAGAACAGTTCCCTGGTGCAGAAATGAAGGCTTGGTGAGGCTTAACGGAACAGAAAGGGTGCCACCAGGATCTCAGAGTCCAGGCAGACCATGAGGAACACAAATACCTGACGATGAAGATGGCACCCAGTGGAGGGTAACAGTAAAGGTTTTCAGAAAGGAGAGGAAAAAGCAACACAAGAGTAGGAAGCATTAACTCCCCTAGAAAACAAACCCTTTTGACTTCAACTTTAAGTCTTACTGAGGACATTATCTCTGCATTAAGGCTGTAGAATGTTCTTGTCTGCAGGTAATTTAGAAAGCCCATTAAACAGGAGTTTGTCACAAAGTACACTGGCCTTTATGAATCCCCCTCTCTATCCCCAGCTCTGGAAATTTATTCTCACAGTTAAGTACACAACACTCGTGTGCTTACCATGTTTCACCTGCTTCAGTGTAGACGCCACCTGATAGCTGAAAACAGATTCACAGAGGAATCTCTCAGAGCCATCTACAAAGAAAAGAAAACAGTTTTCATCTGTTCTAAGGGCTTTATGGCTCCTGTAAACCAAGTAAACATGTCTATTCTTTCCCCTGCTTTTACATTCAGGGTCTACTTTTCAGTGTTTACAAAGAGGGCTTTTGTTTCATTTAGAACTAACACTGCTCTGTTATAAAAGCTATTTCTTCTATACCTAAAATATTAAAATAGTTCCTCTACCTGTTTAAGAATTTAAAAATAGTGTTTAAAAAAACAAAAACAAGAAACCTCAGTCTAACGTCCTGGTCAACATTTCCCCCTCCCAACCTGATAGTTTCCTAATGTTCTCCTGTTCTGTATGTCAGGCAAACACTGACAGCTGACACATTTGGCCATTTGACCGCTGTGCTATCGAAATACAAAGGTACACCAAAACATGAACTCATTTTCATTCTAAAAAGTCAAGCTGAAAAATAGCTGTTGTTTTTTAGTATATCAAATTACATCACTATGACCGTGACAAAACACTGCTGGGAAATTTCATTCTGTCAACGCAAATTGTAACCTTGATTTTCCAACTGAACCAAAACATTGCAATTTGGATGGCGATAGTAGTACAGTGCAATTTCAGAACCTAGCACTGTACTGGTGCCAAGAACTGGCAACAGGAAGGTAGCTAACCCAGTCACCACAGCATTTGGAAGATGATTGTGAAATATAAGCTAGTTCATGCTATTCCTTGTCAGGCAAGGGCTGATACAGCAAAACACAAAAGGCATAGAGCTCATGTAGGAAAATGTGACTTTTACAAGGGTAGCTCAAACCATTTGGAGAAGGTACTTTATTGCAAAAATCCTAAAACAAATGGAGGGAGAAGACACAGCTATCTTCTTTTAGGTGGTAGTTCATGCCAGCTCTGCTAGGTGTCAAGCACTCAGCCATCGATCAGGGGTTGATGTGTCAGCCACGTATTAAGTGATAAGGAGTTAGGACCAACACATTCCGGCTTCATGCTGTCTCACACAAGGCACACCTTATTTCCGAAGTCATGGTAAACAGTACGAAAAACCGCGGACACTATGTCCAGATGGCCTGAATATACAACGGAGAGTGCTCCTTTTGTCTAATAGTATCTTCAACATGGATGCAAAAAAGGGAAAATATAATTATATTCATACATATTATGTATTATTTCAAAATAGAACCCATTTCATAAAGTGATGTACATTTTAGGGGGAGTGTTACATTCTTTACATTCAACCTCTTTTCTACATATTGTGCTACATAAGATATGATCCTATCTTCTCCTCCCACTCCCATTCCTCTGGCTGAATGCAAGTCATCTGTGGTATCATCTAAACTGAGCCAAAAAAAATTATTTTCAATTAAGTGAATATTATACTGACTGTCCAGTTTAAAGATGTAGGTAAGCTAATGATGTCACCAAGTTTTTTAGATAATTAGGCAGCAAGTAACTATAAATTCCACTATGGGAAGAAGGACTGTGTGAACATTTGACAACAATGATGCAGTTTATTATGGCTCTTCTGTGTAGCTATACCAGTGTTCATTATCCTAGTCATACCCTTCTCTAAAGAGTCAAATTATAACTGCAATTTTATTTTAGAAAGAGCAAAGCACAGAGAATTAGAGCTCACTTCTCAGGTGGTTTGATCCTGAACTATACTGAACTTTAAGATCTCAAGGCAGTGGGGATTACGGGCTGTAAGGATCAGGCCAAGATGTATTTGGAAGCTCTTGGAAGTGTTACCTTCTACTTACATTTAATCATTGGTGCTATTAGGATAAAATGCTTAAATTATAACATTTGCATATTTTTCTTGGTAATAAACTTCAAAGCAAAAGGATATAAGCTAATCTTTCAAAGAGGCACTCTATATGCCTTTCTCTATGCCTTTGCTACTATCACTCTGCTGCTCTATAGGCCTATGGAATACACTTTTGCTGATTTGCAGCTCTGTATTAACCACAAAGTCTACTGCTTCTTAGCCACATCCTATTAAGTGTGATATCTGTACTAATCTAAAGCCTGGAATTTCTCCAGAGAGGAGTCAGCCTGAGGCAATCTGTCTTCCATTTAGAAATTGTAATCAAACCCTTTGTAACACACCCAGTAGTTACACACACACACATCAGCTTTCCTCTTAAGTGACAAGCAAAGGTTATAAATAGTGAAAAGTTCAGTAAATTGCCCAAATCTAACACCATTGCAACTCTAATAAATAGGATGCTAACAAATTCATTTAAAAGAATATTACCTCACAAGAGGAAATTAGACAATGTCAGATAATTTATACTTCAGTATACTTCAGATAATTTATACTTCATTTATACTACAATGTCACTAAAATTCAGCCACTTTTGGGCTGGAAGGCTTACTAATAATTGGGTGAGGACAATTTTTTAAAAAATCATATATATATATATTTTAATATATTTTTATTGATTTCAGAGAGAGGAAGGGAGAAGGAGAGAGAGAGACAGAAACATCAATGATGAGTCATTGACCGAGCCTGCAACCTGGGCATGTGCCCTGACCGGGAATCGAACCCTGATCGCCTGGATCCTAGGTCGATGCTCAACCGCTGAGCCACGCCCGGCCAGGCTGGGTGAGGACAATTTTAGCCAAGGGCAGGAGAATGCTGAAAACTACTATATACTGCTTAAGTGATACTGCTTATCAGAGAGCAGGTAGGCGCACAAAAAAGTTAATTCACAAGGTTAACTACAGGTTATTTGGGTTTATTATCCTAGATTTAGGAGGATACAAGATCAAGTTGAACCCGTTCAGATTATAAACAGCATCCAACCTTTGTTCCTTTGAACAGGCAACTCTTCTTACTCTACTTTCAGACTCAAACTACTGTAAGAAAAATGTTTTGGTACATGGTAATATTAATTGCATAACAGTATCACCTATAAGCATGGTAGAAGACGGCTTTCAAATCTAAATTCCTTATTAACTCACATTTAGGAGTACTCTTTTCAATTTAACACTTTAAGAAAAATTTTTTTTTATTGTTTTGAGAGAGAGAGAGAAAGATAGAAACATTGATGAGAGAGAAACATTGATTGGCTGCCTCCTGCACACCCCCTACTGGGGATCGAGCCTGCAACCCCAGCATGTGCCCTGACAAGGAATCAACC